GAGATGTGTATAAAGAAAGTTCATATATTGGGTAATTATTCTTTAAACATGTGAGTTTCCTGCTGCATATTCAATTTAAGGATAAAATTATTACTTTTCGAGAAATTGTTCAAAAAGTTTGAAATTATTCAAATTATTACCCCGCATACCTTATTACGTATTTTTCTAATTATATCCTGCCTATACGAATACAATTTTTAATATATTAATTTATTAGATGTATAACTATGTCTTTCAACATTATATTTAGTAATTTTCTCATATGTGACATTGCAGTTACGGCTTTTTTCCTTACAATTAATGCATCGCAAAAATATATATTCCTCCCAGAGAGTCTTATTGTGACACTACGCTTCTCAAAGCAGTGAGCTAGTGATCAATCATTTATTTTCGTTAAATAAATGTAGGTATATTTATAATAATATGTACAAGTATATTAAGCAAGCACATCGAGCATTAAATAATAATGACAAAATAACGTATAAAATTAAAATTTATTTTAATTATTTTTTACATTTCTTATTAAAATTCGCAACTTTCTCTTTATCTTTTTTTTATACTTTTATATTTTATAATTATTAGGTTAGATTAATGCATAAATATTAATCTTCGATCCATGTAACACGAAGTACGCAATTAATTCTTTCTTTGCAGGTCGAAGGTGTTTACGGCCGATTAAGCGAAAAAAATTAAAAAGAAATATATATGCAATTTAAACAGAAACGAAAGAGGAAGTCTTTTCAGCTTGCAAAGTTTTTTATGTCAGAAAAATCAATTTAAGAGATACGTCAATATTATCCTCTTTGATATCAATATTCGACTTATATATGTCTATTTTTGTAGATTAATTATAATTTACTCGGTTTAATTTACTCTTTATCTTTTTCTAATTTTTATAAGAAAAGATAATAAGTAAATTTAACTGAGATTATAAAGTTAATTTACATTGAAAATTGACCTTAATAGGACAAATTTCGATTGTTTTCGTCTGTTTAATTTTTTGCAATGTTTGCGAAACGAGATTTCATATAAATCTTATACTGTCAGTATTCTTTAATTTATTCCGTCCGTGTCTTCTCTCACAATCCGATTGACATGTAGATGTAGACACGCCGTGCGTAGATCAAGAATAAAGTTAATTTTTGCTGGTAAATCCCTTGGGTCGTTTTGTAATGTCCATCGCCGCGTAAAACGTGGCGAAATCATCTTTAAGCATGACACCGATTATGAGCCGCGATACGTGGTATATCCGAAAGGATTCAGCAGCAGAGGTATGTGATAGTGCTCGCTGGAATCTTGCACGTCAAACATCACGTCAATCATTGGGTACATGGAGGCGGTTGCGATTCGCTTGAAATAGTCATTCACCTGAAACTCAATTTTAAATCTGCCGGGCGCGGGATTCTCTCGCTCGTCCTGCAACAGATCTCCGCAGCGTCCGTTCGAGTCTGTCTGGCTGCAAAAAAACTTGAAGATTAACAATTATGAATAAAAAATTAAAAAATCAACATCTTTTCCCTTATATTCAGCTTATATTCAAACGAATTAGAGTGGTATAGAGAAAGTTCTTTTTAATGCTAAATATGGGTTGTTCGGGAAGTTCATACAGTTTTTTAACTAAAATTCAAAGGCATTTTTTATATTCATACATATATTTAATCAACCACATACGTGTCGTATTCGACTACCATTTGCCATCTTTGAGGAAGCTTCATGATTCCGGATTTCCAGAAGTCGTCATTTTTCTGAGCGATGAATTGTATAAGTAAAATCACATACAATTTTTGCAGCCTTCCAAAGATGTAACAATTTTTACTATTCAAGGAATTTTGTAGGCTTCGAAATATACATAAATGATAATCATGTGCTAGATCGGGTGATACGGTGGATGTGGTAGAACATCCCAGAACATGCCAAGCTATATCAATTTTTGCTGGGTCTCCAAAAAGACGTGAGGTTTGGCATTATCATGATGGAAAATGACACCTTTTTGATTGACCAATTCGGGACGCTTTTCGTCGACCACTGCTTTTAAACGATCTAATTAGACACAGTATTTGTCCGAATTAAGTCTTTCGCCTTGTGGAAAAAGCTCAAAATAAACAACGTCTTTCCCATCCCACCAGATACACAATATGGCCTTCTTTGGTGGCAGACCAGCTTTTGGAGTAATTATATAGTGATGCTTCATCTGTTTGCGCCTTTTACGCTTTACGTTATTGTATAAAATCCAAGAAAAGTCAAAATAATATCAATTTGGACGTCACATTGACCAAATTTACGTCATTTTTATGTCATGATTAAAATTTCGATCTCAAATGACTTAAAAATGACTTTATATTGACTCTTTTTTGTGTGTCAATCTTTTGTGATTTAAAAAAGAATGTGGCAAATAATGATTAATATTAACAATATAAATAATATATTAATATTATTAATATTATTAATAATATATTAATATTATTAATATTATTAATATATGTATATTAATATAATGATGATTAATATTATATCTGTGTTTAAACAATAATAGAAATTTTATTTCGTAAAAACTATTAACTTCATATTTATTTATATTTTATATGCGAATTTTATATTTATGAATGGCAAATATTTTAACTATATCGTATCGTACATCGTATTCTATATATATTCTATTTTTTTGACATCTATTCAACAGATGTATCACTGATGTATATCCATTAATATAATTGTTAATGTTCGTGGATCATCAGTCATCGTCAAGCATCAGTTCGCCGACAATCATAAAAATTAAGCAACGCTAGACAAGGTATATTTGAGTGACCGCTTTTATAGGAACACTGTAAAATTAATTTTCAAATATATATATTTTTTAATTATAATTTTGTAGTGTGTATTCTTTTTTATTCTCTAATGGTATAGGATGCAAATTAATAAAATTTATTTTAACAAAATTGGAATGGTCAAGAAAACAAAAAATTTATGCAATTTGATGTAATTTTAACCTACAAAAATTTGATTATATTTTGACATTCATTTTGACCTCACTTCAAAAATAGTTTATTTTTGTTGCGTTTGAGAAGCGAATTACAAATAAAAAACAGAATGCGAATAAATTTTTTTCAATCAAATTGCGTATTCAAATATCGTAACGATTCGAAAGAAAATTGTTTCCAAATTGCTGTGCAATAATCTAATTAATAAATATGTGAAGTATCTAAGTAAGTAAGTGCGATGTCTCGCACTTGGGGCGTCGTGTAGTGTGGATTATTTTTTTAATGTAGAATCATTTTGATCTTATTATAACTTTGTGTTTTACCTGAGCTGAGCGTGTTTGGTATTCGACGCTAAAATCCCCACGTTTAATTAAAGCGAACAAACCACTTCTGAACAGTTCTTTCAGCTACTACATGAACGGCACAAATCTTTTTTGTTATCTGAACGGCATTCTTGCCTTTCTTGAAGTACAAATAACATAATGTGTCAAAAATGCACCTTAAATTCTTCCATTTTTTAATGGATATTGAACAAACAATACTATAGATTGATTAATTATGCTTATGCTAAAGACATATTGAAATGTCACCTTTTAGAGCATGTAGAGAGAGGGGGATTGTTGTGTTGCTCCACTGTAAGATGGTGGATTTGCATTTTCAACTTTTTCTCGAGATTATATAACGCCTTTAAAAAATAATTAATATTTTAACAGTTTAATTCCTATATATAATTTCTTCCTATGCTCTTCTTCTTGTCTTGTTAAATAATTTCTAATTTCAATGTATATGTTTATGTGTATATAATTAAAGTCACACATATGACATAAATCTACACGTTTTAATGCTACGAACTTTCCGAACAATCCAATATTTAAATTTCAGTGTGCAAATGATACACTCTCTCTCTCTCTCTCTCTCTCTCTCTCTCTCTCTCTCTCTCTCTTTCTCTCTCTCTCTCGAAGAGTCTTGGGAGTTAAAAAAGATGGCAAAAAATATGAAACATAATAATATAAAGAATATGTGAGATAATACAAAACGCACCTTTGTTTCAGAAAAATCCACTTGTCATTTTCAAACTTGTAGAGACACACGAGCAAGCCGTCAGCAGGCCGACCTCTACTAGTGTCCAAAACATGCGTAGAGATACTTAATTTTCCTTCCTTCAGATTTACAGAGGTACTCATCTATCGTATAAAAAGAGACATAAACGCAAATTACATAAACTGCAATAGAAATTCTCTATTCGAATATGAATACACCTAATTTTTGCTTTTAACTTTGGATTTCTATCACAAAATATAAGCTACTAATGTTACGTTTCCTATTACGCTTAAATAATAACTCTATTTGGAAAATGATAAAAGACAGATTTAGATCAATATGTGCGGTTTATTGTTTCAACAATATGTTTAAACATATTTTCCCAGGATCTGCATATTTTAGTTTTTTTTCAAAGTTTGTCCATTCTATATTATGTGTATATTTATATATATATGCTTTTCGTATTCTATATTACATTTTAATAACTTGATGAAATAAGTCTGATCTACTCCACTGTCACTACACCCAGTACTCGCGTCGCGAATATAACTGACTTACTGCGCTCGAATTGCATGCAACTTTCAACATGGCAATACTGGATACAGATAGAATGGATCAAAGGTCAAGGAATGTTGGCAATGGGGATTGAAAGATTGATACTTATCTCCAGTTCATTAGAATTTAATAACGGTATTTCTTTCAAAAAAATATACATACGTGGGATTACATCTAATTCATTCAATTTAATGAAGTTTAAACGAAAACAGTATATATACCAACGCAATATTTACGAGAAAAAGTAAATGTTTATATGTTTATATGTCTCTATTGCTAGAAAAATTAAAAAATAAAATATTAGCATAAAATACTTATAACTTTCTGAAACTAACATACATTTATACTCGTAGCTATATAATTTTTTCAGAAAATTCAACTTAGACTGTATTTGTCATAATTGAGCTTATGTCAAAAACAGTTCTTAACTGCACCAAATCGTATCTTATAACACATAATGTAACACACACTGTAACAATTCTTATCAGTTATCTAATCTATATTTTGCCGATTCTGCAAAACCATTAAAAATATTCTTATTATTATCTTACTTAGATCATGATTCGTAATAATTATATAATTACGAATAATTGTCATTGATAATATATTCTAATATAAAAGCTGTCTGATAGATAGAGTGCAATTTTCATAAAATGTTGGCATTTAATACTATTTCATTACAGAAATATTCACAAATCGTAATTTTTCCGAAGAAAATATCTGTCTTAAAAGTATGATACATAATATTATATAATATAATTATATATAATGCATAATAATATTAATTATACTATACATATTGTATTATATCTGTATTATATATAATTAAATATAAATGTTATATTATAATTATATTATAATATACATGTTTATATTATAATATAATTTATAATATTATTTATGTGTATATGTATATATATACAATGAAAGGCAAACCTTCCGGAACGGCTAATCAGAAAGTATTCATGGGAAAATATTTCAAACAAAAATTGTAGGGTTTAAGATAATCTATTAGCTGATAATATTTATTTTAAACAGACACCTCTATTTTTCATTGCATATTCTTGTAGCTGACGTGGAGAGATTTTCAAAACATTATAATGAAGTTATTTTTCATTAAGTAGTTTTCGAAATTTTTATAAGACTTGAAGCTCAGCTACAAAAATGTGCATTAAAAATTAGAGATTTTCATTTAAGATTTTTATGTTGACCTTAACATTTTTCAAGGTTAACCAAAGCTCAAATAAAAAAATCAGCAGCTAATAGATTTTCTTAAACCCTACAATTTATGTTTAAAACGTTTTTCCACGAAACAAATACTTTCTAAAATAATTAGCCGTTTCGAAACTTTTGCCCCTCACTGTATATGTAACATACACATTAACTTACTTAATTTTACGATATGAAAATAGTAATATACTCGCAGTTTCATCTTCAAAAATTGTAAAGTCCCACGCAACCATTTCTATCACAAAGGAATTTATTCAATAGCACATCCTACTTACGTACCACGGTAAGTTGTATAACCAAATGGGCTCAATAAAAGAGGTATGTGATGATGAGTGTTTGGGTTCTTTACGTCAAATATAATCTCGATAAACGGAAACATAGTATCTATTTTTTTCATTGTGAAATACTTATCAACATCGTAATGAAGCTTATAACGACCGATTGTACCGTTCACCTTTTCCAGCAGATCACCACACTGACCCTCTGCGTTTGTATTACTGAAAGAAAAATTTCATGTTTACTACACTTTTTACCATACTTATATTCTTACTATATAAGCTACAAGTTATTTTAATATTTCTCCAAAAATATTATAACTAGAAACATATTAATCTTAAAATTATATCTTTATAGAATCAATCTATTTAATTTTTTGCCTTTCTTGTTTCGTGTACTATTAAAAGTATGTTAAATAATTATATCAAATTAATATTTTAATAACAAAACAAAGTTGTATTTGTTAATTTAAAAAAAGTTCAAAACAAAATTATACGAAGTTTAAAATAGCACATAATAGAAAATTGGTAAATGTTTGGCCTCAAATGCTTATAAATATTGAAGAAAATAAAGAGTAATAATTAATTACAAAAACACGTACTTTTCATTCAAAAAGGTCCATTTACCGTCCATCAATTTGTACAAACTAACTTGTAACCCACCAATGGGAATTCCCTTAACAGTATCCACAACATATGTAGAAACGCGCAATTTTTTTGATGTAGTTGATGTATGTTTCATTGTCGGTTTTCCCGCAGTCTAAAAAATAAATAAAGACATCAATAATAACCTGTATTCTAAACCGTATAGAAACAACAAACTGACCAAAATTTATGCAATCTTTTCTTACCATCTTAGTCAATAATTTGCCGCCAGTAGATTGTTGATTGACAATCGGTTGCTGACTAGTGCCAGGAACGGTCGGTGGTTGGTTGGTGTCGGATACAGTTGAGTCCTCTTTGGTTTTGTTCTCTGGTTCATTCACCGCGACGTTCACCTTCTTTTGATCGTTCAGCATCAATGCCGGCTTACCCTTAAGCTTGGTTAGCACATACTGTGTGCCCGGTTGGAATGTACCACCAGTTAATGTAAACTGTTTGTTACCGCACATCAGAGTGATAGTCTTTTGAGTCTTCGGCGCGATCGGCACAAAACTAATCGTATTCTTAGTTGGCGCTGTGCTTGTCGAGATGTTTGTTTGATAAGCCGTATTCAGTACCGGTAACGATGAGGTTACGATCAGATTAACTTTACCGTCTTCCAGCTGTCAAACAATATTTTTTTCTAGATTAGTTACACAGTTGGAAAATTTGTGTTAAATATAATACATTTCACATCTCCAAAACAGTTCACTCAAATTTTGGTGTTAATTTAACAGAAAATAAATGTTAGGAAGTAAAAATAATATACAAATATACAAATATTATATTATATACAAATAGTATATAAAAAATCAATATAAAATAATACTAACACAATTTGTAAGTAAATTGTGGAAGTATATTTTTTCAACAAAATTAACATTCATAATATGCTAAATTAACACATTGTATTTTTTTTTTTAGAATTTACGTTTTAAATTATATTATTTTTATGTAATTTATTCATAAATTCAAAATTGTGTTATTTTAACAAGAAAAAATCGTAAATATCAATTTAACACAAAATATTCAAATAATCATATTATATTACATTAATAGTTGGACATGTTAAAAAATCAATACAAAAATTTTAACAAAGACAAGTTTGTCACAAATACAAAATGTTTTTTACTGTGTAATTATGATTTTATATACACACACTCAGTTAATGGTTTTCAGCATAAATATTTAACTAAGAAATATTTAAGACAGATTTTTTTAAATATCAGTTTTATAAAATATTCATATGTTTCATAAAATATTCTATAAAATGTTCATATACGTCATAAAATGTTCTCCTTTTATCGTTTAGAAAGTTTTAAATTATGACTTACAAGGACCTTTCCATTCTTGGTGGTTTTTATTACCGATTTTTCATTTTCATTTGATTTTGATGTCTTCTCGACATTGTCGTCCATCGGTAGATCGACAGATGCATCATCGTTTGATTCAGTCGATTCTATCACCATCTCCATCTGCACGTTCTCTTGGTCCCCGATTTCCTCCTCGAGATATTCGTTATGAACGTGGGCCATCGCATGTGCCAGAGGATCTTGACATTTTTGCTGCACAATCAATGAAAAATTATATGAAATTCGACAAATTGAAAGACAACTCTGCTAAACTATAAAATTATTCAAATAATCTAAGTACAGTAGTTTCGTAATTGTAAAGACAAATAAAATAAAAGGTAAAATTTCAAAGCCAAAAACAAGCAAATTTTTGAATGTTCTATTAATTAATATTTTCGAATTACATACTATCTTGTAAAATGTATGTACAAATAACTGCAGTATCTTCCTCAGCCGCCAACATTAAATTAATTAATATATGATTACATATAGAGTACCATAATAGTCAATAATCTTCAAATTAATAAATAATAAATAAATAAAATGTAATAAAAGATAAATAAAAGGCATATAACAAAATCTATGTCGATAAAGCAGTATATGTGGTAAAAATTAATAAAATGTATTATTTTCTATTATACACGCATAATTTATTGTATAAATTACCTCGGGCAATAATTTAATCTTCTTTATTACAGATGTAGAATCCTTATTGGATTGACTGCTGTCCATCTCCTTTTCTTCTTCCTGTTCTATGTCTTCTTGAATTTTTTCTTTTATATCCTCGAATTCCATTGACTCTTCGTCCGTTTCCAATGTCTCAACAACGTATTCGATATCATCTTCAGTATCCTCTCCTAATTCCGTTTGAGAAGAATCATCCAAAGTCTAAATAAAAAACACATACATATACTATATATACATATACACATACGGATTATATATTCATAAATGTAATGTGTATTTAATCTATAAAAAGCTATGAGACGCGTTATAACAATTCAAAATCAATGTGTCTATAAAGATTGAGATCAAATTTATACTTAAGTTCACATATACTTTTTTCATCGACTCTATTACTGAAGTAAAATATGGAATAAAATATGGCATTTCTAATATAGTAATATTTTCCGAACTGGTCTCTATAATATTTTCTTATTTCGGAATTTATTTGGAAATAAGAAAATATTATAGATTATATTCTTATTTCATTTAGAATTATACCACATTCAAAATTATACTCTCTTTCCCTCTCTTCCGCCACTCTGCACACACTTTATAAAAAATTGTTTCTTGATTGGAAATTCGTGTAAATTTTATAGCTTAAAGAACGCTAAAAGTCTTAATAGACAAAACTCTTAAGGAGACTTTTATAAGTAATATCGTTTCCTTTCTAATTAAAAAATGTTATCTAAAATAAGTAATCTAAAAGCTCTCTCGTTTACCCTCAACAACAAATTTAATTATTAGATTAACTTGATTAAATAGTAACAAATTATAAAAACATAGTGAAATTTGATAAGAAACTATTATCTCACTGCTCATTACATCGTGTATTTTTATGTGTGCTTTGATAACTTATGCACATACATGTATATTATGTATATATATATATATATATATATATATATATATATATTCATATATAGGATGTTCTATATTTCGTTTTTGTGTTTAATGATACGCAGTTCTTATGTCACAAAAAAATAAATTGAATTAATAGAAGGTGCTCTCAAATTTTTTTGTAAATTAAATTAATTAATTGTGTTGTAATATATAAATTTTAACAAATATTGGTAGAACAAATGATAATAAAAAATGGTAAAAATAATAATAATAAATAATTTCGTGAATATATAGTATAATATAGAACTGTATAATATAGTACATTCTATACATGAAAATTAGCGAGAAATATATATTGACCTCAACTTCTTCCATAAGCCCCACTTCTGGTGCATCGGGATCCGTTTTTTGTGTCTGTTTCTCTTCCAATTTATACGATAAAGCCGCTCGTTGATGCTTCATTGTGCATGTGTGCTTCAGCAGCGACAAACGATGTGCGTGTAAATTCTTTTGGCAATATAGACAATAAGCACGAGTTTGTTGAAAGGGAACTGAAGTCAACCATCCTGTAAACAAAAATAATTTAAAATCATTAAATTTTTAGTACATACGATAGGGGTCATCCAATGTATGCCATACGTATAGAAGGGTTATTCCTGAACAACTTTGTAACATCAAAAATTGAAGATACATATATGATCGTTAAAAAAATGGACCTATCCTTTACAACATCTTTTCTGCTCTCAATAGAATTATTATCCATAGAATTAATGTTAATGCTATTGAGTTATTCAAACTTAGCATATAGTCTTTTTTTTAATGGTTGTAAACATTAAGTCCAGAGGATATTCATTATTGAGAAGGTTGTTTATTATCAATTCAAAATTCTCCTGAAAAACATAGGATGTCAAAGAAAAAAAAACCCTATCAATTAGTCTAAAAATTGTGCTTAGTTTTTGGTACATTGGGACAAGAAAAAAATGTGATACACTGGATTAAATAATCTCAATAAATTCATTAGAGAATCTAAAAATCTTTAAATGTTTCCATATCCATTTATTTATTTGTTAACATTAACAATAAGAATAAACTATCATTTATGATCGTTATATTTCTCACAAGTTCTCCTAATCTCGAACAGTACACGTCGTCTCTTGTGCGTAACATTTCTGCGAAAACATCTCGACACAGTTTATTGTAAATCATTTTTATCAACATTTTTGTACATGAGGTTAAGCCAGCTCTTTTATTAGTGAAAATTTAAATGTATCAATTTAATTAATTCTTGGCCTTTAATTATTAATACTTCCATATTTAAAGTATCCTACCAAATGTTTAATATAACGATTCATTGACTACTTTATCTTTGGACAACGCTTTATGTTTTACTCTCGATAACGATTTTATACTGCATTTCTACTTCTTTTTAACTCTCCACAGTTTTATCGGAAATCTTTGAACAATGTTATTTTAGCTTATTAATTTTGTACTAAAAAAAAGACCCAAAACACGAGTCAAAACGTCTACTATGTATTAACGTTTTTATTATTGTAATAATATATAATTTATATACATTATCCAGTGTCTCTTTATTGACTCTTTATTGGCATTTCTCAAATCAGATCAGATTTAATTCGATTGTGTCTAATTCTGATTTAATTTTTGTTGTAATCGGAATAAAACATGCGTGGATTAAGATTACGATTATTTAATGAGACAAACTGTAATTTTCAATTTACAATCCCAAATTTTCAATGCATAGTTTAATATGGGTGGATATTTACGTAACGACATATGTAACTAATTCGACATTTGGTGTACCCAGACAATATAAAATCCAAAATTAGGACATAATAAAACGTACATATCTTTAAAGAATTCGACTAAAGAAATTGAGAATTGGATGTTGCTGCAACATTGCAGTTATAATCTGTGCGACGAAAAAGCCATCGTTATGTATACAGAGTATCCCATTTTAATCGATCACCTCAAATATCTCTTGAACTGTGCATTTTAGAGAAAAATGTTTCAGAC